TGATCCTGAAGTTCCTTTTGTGGTCCAAGTGGATGCTTCAGACTTTGCGGTGGGAGCAGTGTTAATGCAAAGAGATGGGGAGAGAGTTCTCCGTCCGTGTGCCTACCTTCCCAGAAAGTTTCAGCAGGGGGAGCTATCGCAACCGATATGGGAAAAAGAAGCTTTTGCCATTAAATGGGCACTTCAGAATTGGAGACAATATTTAGAGGGAGCCTCTCATCCTTTTGAGGTGTGGACAGACCAACGCAATTTGGAAGCCTTGCAGGCCCCTCGCAAGTTAACGCCCAAACAGTGCAGATGGGCCAAAGACTTTTATAAATATAACTTTACTCTTAAATTCATTCCTGGAAAAGACAATGGGTTAGCTGAAGAATTGTCAAGATTGCCACAACACATGGGAAAAGAATCAGAACCTTTGCAGACCTTATTTTCACCAACCCAGCTCGGGCTGGCAGTAACCACAAGAAGTCAAACCAAACAAAAAACTAAAGGCACAGACAGTGTTTTAGACCCTTTACATGAGAACATTAGACAACAGTCTACATCAGACCAATGGTTGATAGAACACAAACACGAACTGACACATGGGGAATCAGGATTATGGTACAAAGGACCTAGAATATATGTACCTGCCTCTTTAAGATTAGAAGTGTTGAATACCTTTCATGACTCTAAAGCTGCTGGTCATTGGGGATTTGTAAAAACTTTGCATTTGATCAGAAAACAATTTTGGTGAGAAGGTATGAGAACTGACATTGACAATTATATAAAGAGCTGTTCGATTTGTGCCCGAGCCAAACCTATGATAGGAAAACCTAATGGACTATTGCATCCTCTAGAGACCCCTAGTGGCCCATGGAAGCACATTGCCATGGACTTTATTACTGATTTGCCAAAGAGTCATGGCAGAGACACTATCTGGGTGGTCACAGATTTGTTCTCTAAACAAGTACATTATGTGGGGTACAAGGGGGTGCCTTCTGCCCCTAGATTGGCTACAATGTTCATTCAACATTGTAGCCCAGACTTCATGGACTGCCCAATAAGATTGTCTCAGATCGCAGAGGAAATTTTACCTCACAGTTTTGGAAAGCATTACAATCCAAATTGGGGGTGCAATTGGCTTTTAGCACTTCTTGGCACCCTGAAATGGACGGTCAATCGGAACGTACGACCCAAACTTTACAAAAATATCTGCGTTGTTATGTCAATCATTTACAGGATGACTGGTATGACTTGTTGCCACATGCTGAGATTGCTTTTAATGGTGCTGTCCACCAAAATACTGGACATTGTCCTTTTGAAATTGTACATGTCTATGAGCCTAAACTGTTGCCTGAAATTCAAGTTAAACCCACTGACTCATATACTGTCACCCAATGGCTGGACAAAATACAAAAAGGATGGCCTCTCATAGTCAAAGCTTTGGAAAATGCCAAAGCTAATTATAAGCGTTTTGCTGACAAACATCGAAAAAACAATTGGCAAATTAAACCGGGAGATCTTGTTTATTTGTCAACCAAACATTTAAAACCCAGACAACCTTGTAAAAAACTGGGGCCTAAATTTATTGGACCTTTTCCAGTCAAAACACTTGTTAATGATGTTACAGCTGAGTTGATTTTACCAAAAGAATATAGACATTTGAATCCTGTTTTTCATTTCAGTCTGCTGAAACCTGCTTTCACTGATGATATGAGAAGATCTGTGAAGACTCCACCCTTGCCAATGTTAA